TATAAGATCTAGCATATGCACGCTGCCTGTCTAGAGCTCGAAAGATCATCAGTGATACTTCCTATCCACATCATGGCCTGTTTTCTTTGTTACCCTCCGGGAAGAGGTTCCGCTGTATTTGATGTAGGACAGCCAGACTAACAGTTTTGTTTCCCAGGCTATTAGACTTTTGAATGCTCACTAAATGTTTTTCTGTTTTTATAGAATGCAAAATGTAATCTGCTGCCCGATGGTAAAAACTGTACATTGTATCGTTTACCATGGTATTTTAAATTGTATTTAGTCAGGTCAAACTGGGAGTCAATTGCGATGGAATTTCATTTTATTATGCACATAGTGTATGGTGAAATGACAATAAAGTATTCTATTCTATTCTATTCTATTCTATTCTATTCTATTCTATTCTATTCTATTCTATTCTATTCTATTCTATTCTATTCTTGCCATAAGAAAGTTTCTCAACTTCCAACATGTCCAACTCAGCTAACTTGGACATGTTTCAACCTCCAGGCCATAGCTGGAAGAATATTAAATTATAATAAAATATAAAATGCTGAACAATAAATTTCTTCTGACGTGTAAAGAAAATCTGGGAACTAAGAACATATTTAACAGTATAGAGAGAGAGTAGGATCCCTTTGGAGAAAGATGCCTTTAGTGTTAAATGATGTTTAGCAAAAGATGTATCAATATTAGTAGTATAGTTGTCATGATTTTTCAAGTGTATTCTTCCTTCCCTTGAAAGGCACTAGAATCCAATGAAGAATCTAGGCATCTGGGTATTTCCCAGCTGGGCAAACAGCTCCATTGAAGGTTATCTGTGATGGAGGGCTTGAGTGAGGAGATCCAAGGTCATGGGGAGAAGAATCTCAAGCATCTCCTCAGCCTGTAGCCTGAGCGTGTGAAAGCTAAGAGGATGAGACTGGCACCACCCTAAGGAATCCGTAGTGTTTAATTGCAGGCTTTGGGAGTTAGAGTTAGTCTGGAGAGATTCTGTCTAGCAGGTGTAAGCTAATAAAGTAACAGAGCAATTCCAGAACCATCCCGTGGAGTTTCTTGGGCTGAACCTGACATTATCTAAACTTACTTTGCAGATTTTGAAACAACTGATGACTGAGTGCCCATTCCAACTTTATACACATTAGCTCTGAGGAGTTGGTCTCCATGAATATAGCATGACATCTGCATGAGCTGGAACCCTTATCACAAAGGGTCCCCTGCTAATAGTATGCATACAGAAAGGCTCCATGCTGAAGATACTGCGCCATACGTATGGACCCTGGATCTTCAGTGACATCTCCAGCACAACGTGTAGACAGGAGGGTTTGAAATCAATATGGGAATGTTATCATCTGAAAAGAACTATTCAGTTCAGTCCAATCTGCACTGTCACACTTTCTAAATATACCTCAACTGACTTTTTAAATGGGTGAACATCTAACACATTTGGTAGTTCAGTTGTTGGACTGCACGATAATCAACCCAGCTCTGATTTCTTTGTTCACATATACGTTTAGCTATTATGTTGTCTTTCAGATCATCTTTTTGCTGGGACCAAATTCCTTGTTTGGTGGTTTAAACATTTCCAATTTCAAATGTTTTCTGGCCAAGAGTTTGGTGAGTCATTTGAGATCTTCACTGGCTTTCATATTTCCTTAGATCCTCCTTAGTTTCAGGAACAAGGGAAAAAAAACAGAATACAGAATATACCTTTCACCAATTGACAACTTTCTGTAGTTTGGCCTTGATAAAGTTCTAATATTTACTTAATAGGAAGCAATACTTCTGGGGGAAAAGAGAAATTTCAGAGTCAAATTTTGGGAAACCACCTCTTGAAGCAAAGATCTGGTCAAGACAGAAGAAAAGTGAAGCACTTATTTCAACCTATGTGATGCAATGCAGAAGCACTAAGAGGATCTGATGAGTTGGTGTATCTTCTGTCCCTATTGGTTATAGTAACAGAAGTGGAAAAAGAAGGAATGTCTTTTTCGGTTGGTCTGGTATTAGTTCTACAGAACTTTCTCTCATATGAAAAATAGGACTTGCTGGTATTTTTCTTGCTCTGAAACTGTTAGAGCTTCCAGATTTCCTTCTCAGCTATGGGGAAAGACTTGATTCTCATCTTTGTTTTTGACTACATCTTCTCCAGAGGCTTACTGGAGAGTTTAACTTTTTTGAAAACTAAATCTTCTTCCCATTTATGCAGCCAGATTATTCTTCTCACTGATATGCTGATTGCATTAAGCTACAGTGTGTCCTGTAAAAAGTCAAGCAACACTGCCAGTGATTCGGTAAATTTTGTATTTTTTTAAGCAATGTTAACATCCTCTTCTAATGGACCTAACTTCCTATCATATTCTTTCTGGCTTTGGTCTTAGGACATATTGAAAGAATGGGGGAAGTTGTAGGCCCAGTTTTTATATTACACTTGGTTAGATTCTTTCTAAATATGTGTTATTTATTAGATTTATATCCTGCTTTTTCTGGGTAGCTGATTTTGCTGTCAAATTGCTTTTTACTGTTTAGGATTTCTTCCCCCTAATATTCAACTATTATCTGCCTTCCTATAACTTTTTTTTTCAACTACCTCACATTGCTCACTCACATTCAGTGTGTAATTAACTATTTTTCAAGATCTTTTTTACATGTCAGGTTATCAAATTATTTGATTTCTATTTTTAAGCATTCTCTGATTGTGAATAGCAACTAGAACTATTTAGTTTTTTCCTTTAGATTTTCCTTCAGTTTGAAATAAGATAGTAAGAAGGTTATAGTTATTTATTAATCATATTTATAGACCACCAAATCCATTAGTACTCTCAGCAGTTTAGAAGATAAAATACGCAAGAGTCATTCTGCAATAAGTATAATAGAATGGTCTGCAAATAATGAAAACACAGAATAAAATTAAGCAAACCAAACTATAACCAAACCAAAATGGAATCAAGGCCCAAATTCCCCTGGAAAAGGTCTGTTTTGAGCAGTTTCTAGAAGGCAATCAGGTTGGAAGCCAGCCATATATTAAGTGGGAAGCCATTCCAAAGGACTGTATCACCACCAAGCAGTGCCCCCATGCCTTGGGCCCTTCACTTCTCTAAGGTGAGATAGGGCTAGTAGTTTTATGTAGATCAAACTGGTCAGGCCAATTCCAATGGGAGAATGTGGTCCTACAAGTAACTAGGCACCAAGATATGTACAGCTTTACAAGTTAGCACCAACACTTTAAATTGTATCCCAAAGCCTGTTAGCAACCAGTACAGGGCCCACAGCAGTGGTGTAATGTGTTCCCAATGCAAATGCCTGTGAGCCACAGGGCCACTGCACTTTGAATCAACTACACCTTCCAAATGATCTTTAAAGGTAGTCCCATGTACAACACATTGCAGTAATCTAAGCTGGCTGTGACAAGGGCAGGAGTCATTTACAAAGATCTTCCCACCCTCGGTAGGGCCGCAAATGGCATACTGTCAAAGAAGGGGAAAAGTCCCCCCTGGCCACAGCTTCTCTTTTCTTCTAGTAGGAGCCATGACTCCAGAAGACACCCCCCCCCCAAGTTGTGTACTCACTCTATCAGGAGTGGTACTATGCTGTCTAAAGAAACTACTGGAGCAGATAGAGAATCCCAGTAGACAAATAGTAACTCCATCTTGGTACAATTCAGTTTAAGGCTCTTCTCACAGTCTCCGGGCACTGAGACAGGATCCCAGTTACATTACCAATTTGGCCTAGAGTAGTGGTGTAACGTTGAATATCATCACAGTATTGATATTAAACTTCAAACCTTCAAACTACATCTCCCTGAGCCTTCATGCAAATGTTCAATGGGAGCGGGAGTGGGGAAATAAGCCTTGCACCACACACAAAGGAATAGCTATCAGGCTGCTCTCTCTTATCTCACCATCACTAATTGGGACCACCATTTCTCTAGGCTAAATAACATAGTAGTCATGTTCCCAGAGCTTCTGCACATGGGCATCTTAATTGTAAAAGAGACAACTGGCTGTCTTTTCATCACAAACAGGTCTACTACAGGTGTGACAAGCTTAATAGCAATCATCAGAAAAGCTTCAGAGAACAGTTACTTCTGAGTCAATGTACCATTATATTAACCTTTTCTCTCAGAAGAAGAGAATGAAGCCCTCTTCAGAAATCTAAATGTCTGCTTGGAATCCCCTTTGGCCGTGACTACTGAAAACTGATGCCAGTGTCCTGCAACTCTGAAGTGTGGAACAGATCTATACTATAATATAGGGTATAGTATAAGCCCTAAAATAGTCACATCATAGTTAAAAAACAAAATTGATGAAATTTGCACAAAAATCTCAGCACATCCTCCAGCATGATATAACTCCACACACTTGGCAATCTTCAATGCTCCCACCCATACATCAAGTGCTGATTTTGGCTATTAAAAGTTTCTTCAGCCCTGATGTAAGTGAACAAATCAAGGACAAAAAATATGACTTCATATCAAGCTTTAGAAATTGAATGCAGTGTGTCACAAATGTTGATATTAATCAAACCATAAATACAGGTTGAGCATTCTGTAGAAATATAACAACTCTCATAATTCTACTTTATCAACTAAACACTATTGATATTTATTTTCCATGTCATGAAAATATAAAAGCTCCTTCTGTGTATTAAGAATCTGAGAAGGGGTATGTGTACAGAAAGGGGGAAACACAATCACATCACTAACTCAACCCCTAACACAACATTTTTTTCATGTTATATATAGGCACTTCTCAAGGAAAAGCTTAATACAACTGCAGTTCAGATTCACTTTCCAATAAAGATCTATGGCTGTAAACCTACTTGATTCAGACAGTAACACAATATTAGGACATTTATTTATTTAAACAATTTATTGGCTGCAACTGTCATTTACATACAATAGAAATAACTTGAAAGTAAAGCCAACGGAAAAAAAAAGCCCAACAATGGAAAGTAAAAGAATAAATAACTCAGGAAAAGAACAATACAGTTACGTGGTATATAAACAATATCACACTCAAGGTCACAAAATCTTGAGGGCAGGGGAGTCACAGAGAAGGCACACTTCTATGATTCTGTAAGATAGGACTGCTTTGCCAATGGGATTCAGTACATGTCAACCCTGCTAAATCTTACCAAATGGGCACAAACAATCAGAGTGATGGCTATCCAGGCCCTAAGCCATTAGGGGTTTAGAGGTGACTACCAGTATACTGAATTGTAACCAGAAGCCAACTGGTAATCAGTGCAGCTTGAGAAAGTGTCATATGGAGAAACATCGCTGCTTATACTACTAGATTCAGGAGCAGCTATGGTTTCTATGTGGTCTTCAAAGATAGCCCCACCTAAAGCACATTGGAATAACCCAAAAGAAAACATGAATTACCATAAGAAGGGCTCCCAATTGGCACACTGGATTAATTTGGGCAAAGACTCCTGGCCATGGCTGCCACTTATGCATCAAGAACTTTGGAAAATCTCTAGAAATAGAATGTCCTTCTATCTACAGTCATTCAGACTAAGACTGAACCTGATCTGGTTCCTCCCCATCCAGACCACAATAGCCTCAAGTATTCAGAGTGCTGGTTGAGAAAGCTGCATAATTTTGACAATACATCCAGCAGTGTATCTACTAGATAGCCCATTACATATTTTAATTGCTTGAAATGGGATACCTAATAACGATCACCACTACCTTCTGGAGAGTAATAGGCAATTGGGACTTCAAATACAGACATGATCAAAAGTATTGGTACCCCTCCACTTCCCTCCCCCAAAATCTCAGTTTGCTGTGAAATAAGTTGAAACTGACACAAATAAATTACATCCACCATCCTTTATTCCATAGTCCATAGAGCAGACACTTTGCTTTTGATGTATGACTCAACATATTCTTGTTTGTTTGTTTTTTGGGGGGGTGCCTTAGAGTCAGTCTTGACTCCTGGTGAGTGCCTGGACTAGTCCCTACAGTTTTCTTGGCAAGATTGCAGAAGTGGTTTGC